GCTGTATTTACTACATCTATGACTGTATATTCACCTAACCCAAATCACCCATCTAAGTAACACTACTGATTAAGTTTTCTACTACAGGGAAACAAAACTCTCACACTTGAGGCATTTTGGATCATCTCCAATCTATCGGTTGCAAAATAATTGTTTTGCAACAACTCCTCTTGGCAAAAACTTATTGCATAGAAGTTGTTTGAACTCCAAGACATGTGACAAAAAATTAAGTTCAGTTTAAATATCTACGTTATAAATCAACTCATAATAACAAAATACAGATCGAGAATACACAATCACATGCATATATTACTACATATTACTATATGATACTATATATTCCATTTTGGTGGAATGGGGCAATTTGATCCAAATACCCCATATTACATGAACTCCTCTGTTGTATTCCATACACAATTCACCTCAAAACCAAATCCAATATCTTTCTCACCATTTAAAAATAAAAATAAAAAATTGGAATATAATTAACAGAAAATGGTTAAAAAAATTAATGTAAAATTGTAAAAACAATTATCAAATGTTAGTCAACTTTGTTTACTAATCATATTCCTACTCAGATCACCTCCCAAAGTCATTATTGCCATAGTAAAAAAATCAAAATTACCAATACCAACCCAAATCGCCATTTCCAGACTAGAAAAAAACATAAAAAATTATCTCAGGAGGCTAATATAGGATGGAAATTCCATTATATAGTAGAAGAAAAAAAAAAAAAAAAAAAAAAAAGCCAAACCTAGTCGAAGACGCCTCTCTTGGTCGTTGCTTCCCAGATTTGCAGCACGGAGAGAGCAATCCTGCTGGACATACCGGAGGCGACGAGGTCACTGACAACAGTGTAACGGCCATTGATTTCAGTTCCCGGCGAATCTTCCTCCTCCTCGGCTTTGATTTAAGTGGCTGAAGAAACTTGGAGCAATGCGTTCTTAACAAACCGGAGTAGAAATTGGAACTAGAATTCAGAGAAATGGAGAAGAAGGCAATGGTGGAAGAGAGAGAGAGAGTTACCAGCGTCAATGACGGCATCCCAGTTAGTCTGGCCATCTTTACCAAACTGCTTCAAGTCCCACGTCCCTCCAACCCATCTGGCGTCCTTAAAGCTGTTCATAGTCTCCACCACCACCGGATCCGCCGCTGCAGCCGCCGTGGTTGGTGGCGGCGATGGAGTTGGAGTCGGAGACCCATTTATGACAACAACCGGTTCCTCAGTAGAAGTCACAAGAGCATCTTCCGGCCACACCAGAGCCATTCTCAGAGCTCGCAAACAAGTGAAATTTGAGCTTTTTCGCCGCCGTTTGTAAGAAGCGAGAAGAGGCGATGGTGGAAGAAGAGAGAGAGAGGAGCGGCCGTTTTTGAAACGAGAGAAGATGGAGGGTTAATTTCCAGATTAGATCTAGGGTATAATGGGTTCCACCCCTAAAAGCTAAAAGGGCAAAACATGTATTTTAAGTTTTTCAGGGGGTCTCACAAATTAAGTTCAGAAATTGGTTTTTTGACTATGATAGAAAAAAACATTGGGCCTCCTCATATATATTTTCAAAACTAGGGGGTTATCCCACATTTCCCCATTATTTTAATATAGTGTACTACAATTTTTTTAGTATAATCTAACTATCATATATTTAAATTTTCTTTAATGCTACAGAGAGAATTGCTAGTTTGTCGTAATATTTGAGCTAATTGCACAAAATCTCGGAGTAATTTCGAAGGAATTAT